TTTGTTTTGCAAAGCGAAGGGATGCAGCGGGAGTCTGCTTCGTTACATGTACCGAAAAAAAAAAAAATCGTACAAATTTATAGCAGTTGCGTGAGTCATCTCACAAAGGCCGTGCTGTGCAGGCCGACTTTTCGGGCTGAAATGAGAATTTCAAGGCTAAAGGCGCAGAGAGGAGAAGAAAAAAGCCAAGCTTTTGTGACTCGGGGCTTCGCGCCTCGGCTTCCCTCTGCCGCGGCAAGCGGTCCCGCGTGGCTGTCCCCCGAACGAGCCTCGCTTCCAGCTCCGCGGGAAAAGAGCGGCAGGGTAAGGCCCCTGCGGACACCTGAATTTAGTGGGAAGGGCGAAGGAGCTGCTTCTGGGTGTCCTGGGAGCGTGCGGTGAGAGGTAACTTGCAGGGTGTTTCGCTAAGTGAGCGGGGTGGGCGGAGGGGGTGCTCGATGCTTGAGGCAGTTGAGTGAGAGGGGTTCGTTTTGGGGGGGGGAACGTAACCCCTTCTCAGGAAGATGCTGGAAGCCGGTGTCTCTGGCAGCAACTTGGTGGCAGGGCCGCGTGCGTGCCCGCAGCAGAGCCGGCACCGCACAGAGAGGTGCCAGCGAGGCTCTGCAGCACCGTTTGGGTGCCGAAGTGAGGATCTGCACCCCCCTGGTTACCCCGAACCGCTCCGGTGCTGCTCCTAGGGTGTATCTAAGCCAAAAAGAGTAATACAAAGAGCCGTCTATGATTTCTACATGCAGTACGGAGGGGGCTTTTTTCTACCTGCGTGGGGTACTTAGGGAGCAGCAAGACTCCGCCGCGTTGGAGGAGAAATCTTCTTCCTGAGGGTCGGTCGCAACGGCGGCGGGTTGAAGGAGCGAGCCCCGCTGCAGCGTCGCAGCAGCTGGGCTGAAAGTCCTGGAAGCGACAGGAAGGAGCCTGCGAGCGCTTCGCATTTCTGGTCATCCCGCTGGAGCACGCGTGAGGCTTAGCACCCAAATCCGGTGGCTTTCGAGAGGTTCTTGGCCGTGCCGTAGACCTGGGGGAACAGCAGTGAGCGGCCGCGCGGCTCCTCTGAAGGGTTCGGCCCAGGCGGGAGCGTTTTGCCGGGTGGGTTCCCGGGAAGCGCAGGAGAGCTGCGTGCTCGTATAAGCGTGGTGGTGTGCGCGAGCAGGCACAGGATCGCTTGCTCAGCCCAAGCCGTGTAACGCCGGCGCTTGTCTTCGGCATCTGCAAAGCTGTCTTGGCCGGCGCGGGGGCTTCCCTTGCGCCCATCCGCAGTAGTGGCCCAGGCAGAAAGGGCATTACTGCAGTGGAGTAATATCGAGGTTCTTTTATTACCCCGTCTTTAACTTCTGATGCAAGCCTTTCTCACAGGAAAGAGGAAGCTGCTGTCTTTGAAGCTTTTCAAGAGAAAACCTTCTGTATCAAAGAGCCACGCTCAAGAATAATAACTGGATTTTTATCGTACAAAAATAACTACAGGGAATTTTTTTTCATTAATAACGCGGAGTTCAAACACCAGTAAATCCAGTCTCAAGGGAAAACCAAACTGGCTTCAGGGCTGCTGATCGTGACACGCGTTTCCAGCCAGATGTGGCTGTCGGGTCTGTGCCTGGGCACAGTACAAAGCAACTGCTTAAGCTTTCTTAACGATACAGCTGGTTTCCCGATAGTCTGAAGGAAGGTAGGTACATCTCGTACTCTGAGCAATGTAATCTTATTTGAAATCTCTTTATAAAGTTAATGACTGTGTAAGATCCAGCAGAACAAGACATCATTAAACACTGTCTGTGTTCACAATCAACTTCCTGATCGTAATCTGGGGAGAGCGAGCATCCAGCGATGTGCTACCCATCCCCAGACGGTGGGGAGAAGAAATTCTCCTCTCCTGGCACAGGCTATGGCAACAGCGCTACAACGCATGGTCGGCGTGGACGCCTCGCAGGCCTGCGTGGCTTCAGCCGGCGTGGTGCAAGGTGCGCCAGCTCTGCTCAGGGAGAGGGGGACTCTGCAGCGAAAGGCCTCGGAGCCCTGCTGCTGCGTGTTATTTCTTGCGTCTGCCAAAGGTGAGAGCAAAACGCTGCCGTGACCTGTGCATTACAGGCAGCTGACACGAGCTTTTTAACTTTTTTTGCTGCAACTTTCTGGACCTCGGTGGAAAGCGATAGAGGTCCCGTTGCAATAAGGCTCGAGAGGGCAAATGCCGGGAATCGATGGCGATGGGCAGTCGAGCAGCCCCGTCCTTGGTGAGCGGGTGAATCCCCGTTTGCCAGGGCTGGGCTCTGCTCACGCTGGTTTTGCTAGGAGCAGGGCTGGAGGGAGCAGGGCTAGAGCTGTGTCTTCACGTCTGTCACTTGCATAGCTGGCTCCTGGGCAGTTATGGTTTGCAATTAGATACCATGTGGAAAAGAAAAAAAGAGTTTAGTGTAAGTAGGGGTGTGTGCTTTAGAGCTATAAGTACAGGTGTTTCAATTCCTAGGCGGGGGGAAGAAATTTATTTGAGTTTATTCTTTGAAGGGAACTCCCTGTCTTCAGCTTATGCTCTTTTCGAATGTAATCTTTCCTGGGCTTGATGAACTTTTTTTAATAACTCTTCTGACATTTTTTTTGCTCACCTATAATTAATTTCAAAATGCCTGGGAATCACCGGAGGATTTCTGAGACACACTTTGGAAATAATAATAAATAAAAAAGTCCTCTGGAGATTTTATGATTTCTCTCCGGTTTTGTTTCTTCCAAGGCAGCCTCCGGCCAGCCTTGTTTCCATTCACAGCGGAGTTGTATGGTGCATCTGAAGCTTGGCAAAGCCCAGCACCTCCCCCTTTTCTCCTCTCCTTCCCTTCTTGAAAAGAGACAGCCCCGGGTTTAAAAGTTGATTTTTAGCTTTGATTGTGCGTATGTGCTATATGAATGCTAAGCAGCCTTTACAATGCATCCTTGTGATGCGCCCGGGAAGGCAGACACGGGCTGTGAGGTCTCCCTGGCTCCCCGTCATTCATACAGCTTCAGTACGGTTTGATAGGGGCATGCTTTATTTACGAGCGAGCTCTAGGGTGAATATAGCTGTGTTACGGGTAGTAGCTGAGGGACCGAATGGGCTGAGCCAGTGACACTTGTAAAATCTGCCACATTTGGAGCTCTTTTCTACCACAGAGGGAGAGAGGTGTTTTCCCTAACGGTGGTGTGGGCCGGCAAAGGAGGCGGCTCCCAAGAGGCAGCAAGGACCCAGAAAAGCGGACAGTGAGAAAGCACTAGCACGAATTCAGCCTCTTCTCCTCCATTTATATTTAGTCTTCCAAGTTCACCCCATGCAGCATTAACACATCAAATCCCCCAGCTCTTTTAGGACATCCATCTGACAGTGTGGGCAGTGTTTCCCTCCAGCTCGGAAGAGGGTTGGAGGTTTTTAGGTCTGCAAAAAATATGATCTGGCTTTGTTCCCTTTTTTAAATCAATCCTTTCCTTCTGGACGAGGTGGCATGTCCTTCCGACACCCGTGCAGCTGGGGATGCCGGTATGTATTTTCACAGCCTAACAGAAGGCTGCAAGCTGCCGCAAGGCTGGAGGAAGAGGGCATCTGGGCTCCCCAGGGTATTTTTAGCCTCACTACCCTCTTTCCGCGCTCCCACTGATAACCAGAGATAAGGGAGGAAGCCGCAGGCAAGAGCTGTGGTCAGCTGTGGTTTTTGCACCAGTTTGGGAGCAATAAGTTGTGCTCTTGCAAAGGCGACCAACTGACAAAACCCGGCAGGGCGGGCAGGAGGCCGAGTCTTGCCAGAAGAGCCATGCTGCCATCCAGCCCACGCTCCAGCTGCAAGGGCAGTTCCCCACCATACCTCCAGCCCTGCCTCTCTTCCCGCTGGGATGGGGCTGGGGGGACACCCTGCTTCTCGCCAGGGCTCCCTGGGCAAAGAGCTACTGATGCAGGCGTACGTCAATGATATGGCACCCAAAGGGAATTTAATCCTGGAAAAAGCGAGGTGTTATGAAGACCCCCTTTTGATGGCCACAGTTAAGATGAGCACGCATGCTCCCCCTGCACTCGCTTCGGTAGTGCCCTTGCATGTGCCAAATGACTTTCTTTGGGGGAGGAGGCAGTAACTTCTTTTGCTCTTTATTATTTTTTGCTGTTAGAAATTCACATGTGTTCTGCCCCAAAGAGAAATCTTTCCAACCATACCTATATGGGATAAGGTGTAAGATGGAGGCAAGAGAAACAGCAGAAAATGCCTCCACCCCCAAATCCAGCGCAGCGCTGGAGCAGGTAATTGAGGGAGCAGGCACAAAGGCAGCGTGCCGAGCGCTGGAGGTGGGAGAAAGCATCTGAAGCATCCGAGGACATGGGCAAACCACCCAGGAACAGGCTTTTGCAACCAAACCAGAGGAAACATCTGTTTAAACCCAGGTGTTTAAAGTTACAGACCTGCTTTGAGAGCTTGCTGAAGTAGTGAAGGTGCCTGTTTCTATGGCTGGAGACAAGGAGGTAGAGCATCTTTTATGGAGAGGCTAGGAGCACCTCCAAGGGGTGTAGATGATGATTTTGTGACCTCTCAGGTGGTCCTGCAATGAGGTGCGAGGCTCCTGCATGGACAGACGAGACCTTTGGGGAACTGGGACGGGGAACTGCCCATCTATCCCCTTCAGAAAGCCCGCTTGAATCCCCCAGGCCTTCGGGAAGGATTTCTGCTGGCCTGTGGGGACCTCTAGTGTGAGATCTGGCTTTGCACAGGTCTCCGGTAGCGTGCCTTTAGGGCTGGGGAAGGAAAGTGGGGTCTAGGGGAAAATGGAAGATGGGCAGCCCGGTTGTTCTCATGTCCCTTTGCTGTGAGCCAGGCTCCAGGTGTGCTCATGGTGTGCACCACGGCTGCACCCTCGCTTCTAACTCACCGCTGCTCTTGGTCGGGCTTCTGTAGCTGGTTTTACACCCAGAGCTGTGCTTCATACCTTCTTGCAACCCTTCCAGATTGAACCTGTAACTCCACCTGTGGACCGACCCCGCTGCCTTTATACCCGTGCCCCTTTGGAGGTCAATCCCCTTGAAAACGTAGGTGACAACACAACCGTCTGTCCCGTAGCGCCAGAAGAAATGATGGGTGCTACCAGCTCTGCGTTTGGACGCGGTCCTAACTCCACCACAGTGTTTTATAAGGCACTTTTCCCACCCGGCCCGTGGTGGTCACCTTGCAGCTGTACTCCGGTCCCCAGGGATGCACTGCTGCGGATGGCATCTGGTTCCTGCTCCTGGACATTTGTGGCTGGGCATCAGCTGCCTCCCCAGCCTGTTGCCCTCTCTCTGTAATCCTCTCACCACCACTCTCCTTCCCTGCTGTCCATCTGTCAGTCTTTCTCAGGTGGTTTCCAGCTGGTGGCTGGAGTAGGAAGGTCTCTGTGCGCACACAGGTACACCAGTGTCTCCACTGGGCATCAGGGACCCCCACCGGGGCAGGAACCCACAAGCCATGGGGGACACCTGTTTTCAGAAATGGCTGTGGCTGCTCTCATTGGAAGTTGCAACCAAGATGTTTCGCAAGAAAGCTTACAAGAAAGCTAGCGATGTAGTCAGAAGATCATGACGTGCTTTTCCCTGCCTTTGTGCAACTCACTTTCTCTTGCTTCTCTTTGCTCTACAAAATACATCTTCCTTCCTTTTTTTCACTCCCCTCCTCCTTCTTTGTCATTTTCCTGTAGCTACAGTTAACTGATGCGGGATGGTTTTACCTTTTCCCCCGCTTTCTTTGCCACCTGAGGGGGGGGTGACTATTTTCCATTATTCTGTTTCAGCTCTTTTCTACCAGTCTAGATCTGAAACTTAAGGCCCCCAGTCATTCAGTCTCCCTTTGGCCACATTGTTCTTGAGGCTTCTTTGCAATTTACTTTCGGGGAATATGCATCCAGCAGGCAGCTGGTTTTAAGACCAGAAGTCACCTGAGTCTTCTGTAGCCGTGAGTCCGTGGGTCTTCAGAGGGGAAGGGACAGAGTCAAAATGTCCATGGACAGTCAGGGTCTCCTGAGCAGGGAGTTATATTTATGTGTAGCCACCTTCCTGAATAAAGTACTACCAAAAGGATTTTTTTTTTCCCTTGTCTGCAAATAGAAGTTTTAATAGAGTCTCAGCCAAAGGTTATTGCCATGTGGTGGTTTTTAAATGGGGAGGGAAGACTCTTATGCAAACCTGTTTGGGGGTTTTGATGTCTTCTTTAAACAGCAGGTTATTTTTTTCTAAATAACATTTTCCTAAACTTTTTCCCAAGGCACTATTTATGCAGATTTAAAAAAAAAAAAAAGCTAGTGACAATGTTTATTAAGCAAAACTGCGTCCCAGTGAAAGCAAAAACCAGGGTATTTTGATACTGTATCTTGAGCAGTTTCAAAAGTTTTTTTCAGGACCTTTGCTCTGAACTCCATGGAAGGCTGTTTTTCTGTATGCCTTTCCTCCTTTCCCAGCTGGCTGCATGTTGGAGCTGATGGCAGCCCACCGAGAGCCCAGGCAGAAGGCGGCTGCTCTAAATGGGATTTAATAATCGGGCAGGAGGAGGTGCATCGGCACGTGGTGGGGACTACACTTCCCAAGAGGCCCTGCTGTGGCCATGCCTCCCTTTGGTGGAAACCCAGGCTTTATCAAGAGCTGGAGGGACCAACCGCCAGCTCTCTCTGGGGACAAGCAGCCATGGGACTGAGGTGCGGGATAAGGACCACCAAGTGCCAGCTGCTGGTGACCAGCCTCTGTGTCATGGTGAGCAGGCAGGTTTGGGGGGATCTCTGCAGAACTGAGGTGAACCCTTGCCTTTCCCGTCCCCACGCGGAGAGGGTCGGGTTTTCCCACGTTCTGTTTTTCACGGGCGGAGGGCAAGCAAAGCCAACTGCCCGAGTTATCGTTGCGCCCTGGGTGGTTATCGCTGGCTGCAAACATCACCCTCGCTCCGCTGATAGACTTCTGGTTTCTCTGGGCTGTCACGCCGCTGCAGCTCTTTCACAACCCGGCAGCTGCCTTGAAGGAGAAAGGAAAAGTTGCTGCCAGCAGAATGGGTGGTTTTCAGCAAAAAGATATTTGCTCCCGTCTCCTTGGAGCAAAAGAGGGAGGATGGACCTGCTGCAGTCACGCTTGTTGCTGAGAGGGTGGTCGGCCGCAGGTAGGATCGGTGAGGATATGAAACCGCAAGGCTTCAATGGAAGTATGTGCGAGAGACCTGTGGATCCGCACCACAAAGCGAAAGCAATTCTAGGGATCCTTTTTATCAGCTTTTGAAGCAAATTCAAGGGGAGCTTCTTGACATCTGCTGTTAGAACTGATGGGAAATGGTGGAAACTGGGGGATGCTTCTCCTGGATTTTTTCGAGTTACATGTGCTTGTTGCCTTTTCACTTCATCAAAACTTGCAAGCTTAAAAAAAAAAATAAATCTCTATTTAGTTCAAAGAGGGTTGGTGGCTTGGAAAGAGTGTAATTAAAGGTAATATCTTATTTTGGGCCACATGTTGAAATTTGGACAAACTATAAATTTCACATTTCAAGACCATTGGCTGTAGTGGCTATACGTTGTTCTCTCTTCCAAATAACAAACTATGTTATTTCGTGGAAATCAAAAGAGGATTGGTACCAAACGTGTTCAGAGGAGATGTTAAGGCACAGCCACTGGGGATGGCTAGATTCACGTTACTGCTGTTGGGAGGATTTCAGACTGGTGTTTCTCAGAAATCTGAGCTAACCAGTGTTGCACTTAGCATTTTGCTGGGTGTGGGTTGAGATATGCAGTAATGCACAGCACAAAGGATCAGTAGGTGCCACAAGTTAGGTTATTTATAAGGAGAAAATGCTACAGTTTGGATGTATTTAGTCTCTGAAACTAAGTCTCCAGCAAAAGCAAATAGAAAATGTCATACAGTAGGGATTTTGTTGACACCAGACCGTCACATTTGACACAGGGATAGCTCCCTTGTGTTTCCATATTGTAAAAGCACAAAATGATGAAACATTATCTTAGGAGCTAGGAGTGGCCTCACATCTTGTATTTTCCAGGTTCATCACACTAGAATTGGAACTGTTTTTTAACTGTCCCGCTGTTGGTGCCTCTGTCCCAGCTTTGCCACCAGTCATGCTGCTAGAAGCCCTGCCCTAGAGCCAGGTGCCATCAGAAATGTTCCCTTTCCATCACCTGGACTTGCTCTGGGCAACACAGAGGGTAACGTGCTGGTCGTCACCCCATCCCTTAGGCATACCAGGGCTCTCAGGGATGGTACAGAAACACAGATGGCCTAGCAGCATGCTGCAGAGACAGAAACCAGCACGGGTCACTTAGAGTAATACAAGATTCAGCTCTTTGCACTCTACAACAGGAAATATAGCCAATAGCAGGCAATGGGACTAGAGTTCCAAAGAGCAAAGCAGAGAACATCATCCCTGCCCAAAACCACTACTGAAGCCGGCAGCCCTCCTAACTGCACGTGCATACTCTGCAGAGCGGGGTGGGACTGCACGGGTGTGCTGCAAGAGCATTGATCCTCTGGGTTTTCTTCACATGGTGGGATTTTCATCCACGGACACTGGCCAAGAGACTGCGGGCTGTGCAGTGTCACAGCACTCATGCAAGAGAGAAAAAGAGCTTTAGTATGTTTAAGTGTCTGGGGTTTGTCCTTTTATGTGCATTATGGGGTACGTGCAGCAGTCTTCGAACGATCAGTCTGTCTGCATCTGCGTGGGGCTCAGGAGTATCCAGATACACCTCAAAGCTTCGTGTGCGCTCAGCAGGAGCTGCTGTGTTGTAAATCCCTTTCTAAAAACTTTCTTTTCCAGCTGCTGGGGTTGTCCATTGCCACGCTGAGCACAGTCACCCACTACGGGCTCCATTTCACCCTCATCAGCAACATCTCCCTGGAGAGCAACTCCTACAGGGTCATCCACCACGCAGGTACGTCACGGTCGCATCCCAGTGAGACCTTTGGTGAACCCAGGAGCTGCAAAATCCCCTACAGCAATTGAAGGAAATGCAGAGGTATCACAGGAGGAGGCAGGGGCTGGCTTTTGGAGGAGCCATTACGACTAACAGTCCCACAGGCACTTTTTTTCTGTATCTCATCCGCACGCCTGGTGCCAAAGGGTGCTGTGGGAGCCCAGGGTGTTCGGGTGCTGCTGTGTTTGTTCCTGTCCCTCTATTCACCACATCCCCATCCTTCCCCTGTGGTGCGGTGAAAGCTCGGGGGGAACTCGGCCACAGACGGACCTAAAAGTGCAGCAGGGCTGGAAGGGCCCTGGGAGTGTGGGGAGAGGCACTGTTAGAAGAGTTGAAGCAAAGCATAGAAAATTGAGGCTGGGGGGAGAAAGGCATGGAAACACCTGGTTTGGGAGGAAATGTGGGGACTTTTTTCCCCCTACACAAGGCAGAAATATAAACTGAGTCTCGGGTACAAGGCTAGAGCAAAGAGATGAGAACAACCCAGATAACTAAAATACTCTGCTCGCCTCTGCTGCACTCACATCTGCTGCTTCTCCCGAGCTATACTCTGGACTTAAACATGTTCTTGCCCTCTCTAGATCCTGGTTCTCAATTTCAGTTTAACAAGGCAGGTGTAGAAACTATGTTAGTGCAAAGCAAAGGTACAGCCCTCCTCCTTTCCTACACACACCAGGGGCTATATAGATTGGCACTCAATCCAGCCTTGCAGGCTCTCCCTTCCCAGCCACCGCTCTAGAGCGATGCTTCCACTTGCTTTGCTTGCAAGCATGAACGCTTTGCACGGTTAGCTCTGAGTGAGGGTTGCAAAGCCCTTCGCAGCACTGTGGTCCCTGAGCCCTGCCCCGGGGTACCGGCTGTGACCCTGCCTTAGCGAGGAGGAAACCGGAGGGCGAGTGTTGCACCAGATTAGCGTCGCGCAAACTGCTGATAGGGGCCGTGGGACAGCTGCTGTGCATCAGCACCCCCCATTCGGGGGGATCCTTATCTAAGTGCCAACATAATTGACAGCTTGCGGTCTGTCGGGTGGACTGCCACTCTTGTAGGGTGCTTCACTCTGCTGGAGCTGTGGGAACCGCTTGGAGGTTTACAGCCCCGCCGGATGAGCAAAGCATAGGCAGATGGGGGGTACTGAACAAATTATAAAACATTTTGAGTTCTGCAACCTGGTTCTCTTGGACCAGCTCTCCAAAATGCACTTTTTGGCCCTTCTGTGGGTGAAAGCATCCGACCAGGCCTCTGTTAGCCCTAAAGTCTTGGTGTCTGACCGCAGCTCCCATGTCTGACTTCCTTCCAGCCTTCTACTTTGGGATCTGCCTCAGCATGACCCTGATCCTTGCAGCCCTGCTGAGCTCTGCCGCCACGGTGCGGGAATCGCAGTGCCTCACCGCCATGGTACGTGTCGGGAGGGCCTGGCTGGGAGGGGCCTTTTGTAACCTTGGGCTGGTACCCTTAAAATGTGGTGCTGGGGGCTGTTTCGCCTCGTGCCCGGGAGCATGCACGCCTGGGGAAGGATGTCTGGTTGCTCCACCCCGTGTTGCAAGGGGACTGCATCCTTCTGCACTTTGTTTCTTTTGCCAGGGTGCTGTGTGCACTGCTTTCGGAGCGGGGTCAAAGGGAGGTGCTTATCTGCCAAAGCAATTGCAGTGATGACGATTCCCAGCGTATTTTTTCTCACCAAGACAACACGTGGTTTGCGTGGGGAAACGTTAGCAGTGCAATTTTGAGTAAGAATTCAAGTCCCATGTTGTTCCTCTAACTTGTGGCAGCAAAGCTACCTCCCCTCCTTCCCACCTCGCTGCAAACATCCACTGCAGTGGTGGTGTGGGGTGTACAAAGCATGGCAGCAGGCATGGGGGCTTTGGGCTGGGCGCTCAGTTTCAGCCTCCAAGGAGAAGGTGGAGGGGTAGTACAGGAGCTGAAATGCCGCCTTTCTCCTCTCCATCACCCACAGTGAAGTGCCTGTTTGGGCCTGGACCATGCCAGCATTAGTAAACTGGACTGTGAGCTCTGCTCCATTTAAAAGCACAGCCTGCACACAGGGCTTAGTCTGAACGGAGCAGCGTCCAGCCTCGGGCTGGAGAGGTGAGCAGAAAAGCACTGCTCACTGCATGTTTGCCCATGCTATGTGAGGGGCAGGAGTTAACAGGTAGGTTGCTGTGCATGAAGCTGTTTGTAGCTGTTCACAGGTGCGTTGCTGTCATATGTAAACTAGCTTTAAAGAGATTTATGTGATCGACGTAATTGGGGAAAATGATACTGATGGCAGAAATGAGAAGGTGACACCTTAAAACTTAGTGCAAAGCAGCTACTGAAGTGAATGTTTTCACCTTCTCAATAAGCAGTCTTCCTCTAAGATGCTCAAAGGGGCCCGAGTGACACAGTTCCCATGAATACTGCTAGCAGAGTATGTATAAACCCCCTCTCTTTTGCTGAAGTACACTTTAAGGTGCGCCTGCAACTACTGCATCTAAAACAACAGATGGGTATGTACAGACTAGTGGAGATTGTCACGGCTGCCTGAAAATACAGCTGAACTGCTGATAACGTTTATTGGGTTGCCCCACTCTCTGTGCGTTATGGTTTGGGACGTGCCGCTAGGTACAACAGGCTGTCACAATCACAGCCATTTCCTGAAGGGACAGCTGAAGACAAAGGTACCCAGCGAACCCCAGAGCTGCTGCCCTGCTCCGAGGGCCGCCCCGCTGCTCTGCCTTCCCCTCGCCGGGGGGAGAGGCCCGGCAGGTCCTTTCCTCCCGCCACCACCGACTGCCCCAGCCCGGCTGGTCCGGTGGAACACAGCCAAGCCCCGGCCCCCGCGGAAACCTCGGGCTCCAGAAACCCCAAACCAGCTCCCGGCCTTTGCGGCGTGCCCCGTCCGCTCTGCTTTAGCGATTCACGGTTTGGGGCCTCCGGGGGAGGCGGCCGTCTTCCCTTCGGCTCTCTGATGCTCCCACTGCAGCCAAGACAGGGCATCACCGCCTCCTGGGAAGAGGAGGAAGGCTGCCAGGTGCCTTCGCCCACTCTCCGCGGGGCCGAGCGGGGTGCCCCGGGGGTGCCTCTGAGCTCCCTTTCCGCCCTCTCCGCCAGCGGGAGGGGGCCCGCCGGGCGGGCTGCGAGGGCAGCGGGGCACAGCTCGCAGCCCACCGACGGGCCCGGCGCGGCCCGGCCC